ATTGAAGGTGGGAGGAGAAGGAGGTGACAGAGGTGAGATGGTGGGATGGCATTACTGACTCAGTGGACTTGAGTTTGAACAAGCTCCGGGAGATGGTGAAGGACATGGAAGCCTGGCATGCTGGAGACCATGGGGACACAAAGAGTCGGACACGACTGAGTGACTGAACAAGAAGAACAACATTGTTCCTAGAGGATTCCTTAGACTGCACTTCCTAATCAGGATTCAGCAAATCAACTTATATATGGCAGGGGATTTTTGTTTTGGTGGGAGTGGTTGTTTTGTTTTTAAACATGGCCCAGTCTACTTTATTAACCAGCTGATGAGCATTTTACTATTCAAAAAACCTTGTTTCAATTTGGAATATGCAGAGCCATCATATACCCTACTTTTTAAGAGAAGAATTATTGAATAGAAGTGGGTAGGAGGCTAGGAAACAAGATCCCAGCTGACTAAACCTGCTCTCCTTCATATGCTGCAAAAGCCATAGGCCTAGGTGAAGAATAAAATCATGAAATTTTAGAATTAGAAGGGAACTTGAGCTCATATGGTAAAATCTCCATATTTAACAGGTAAGATAATGAAAAATTAAGTCCAAAGACCATTAGTGGTTAGGGTAGTTATCCTACAAGATGGCCACGAATGATCCTTATCTTCTAGCATTTATGCCGTTGTTTAATCCCCTCTCATATTGAATCAAAGCTTACCTCTAAAGCCAAGATAGATGTGATGATATATAATATTCAAAGCTGAGTTATAAAGGCACTGAAGATTTTGGTTTCACTTTCTTCATGTAAACCCAGTCACCATGTTGTGAGAACATTCAAGAAGCCCCGCAGAAAGCAGCCATTCTGTCAGAACCAATTAGCCCTCTATGTGCCCAAACCACTTTAGAAAATAATTCTCCAGCCCACTCCAGACTTCAGATGAGTGCTAGCCCAGTTGACATCTGAGTACATCTCATAAAAGACCTTGAGTCAGAGCTACCCAAATCAGCTACTGGCAAATTCCTAGCTTACTATCCCAACCTTGTGAGATAGCAAATGACTGCTGTTGTTTTAAGTCATAAGTTTTAGGATGATTTGTTATGCAGCAACAGAAAACTAACATAGAGACTTACTCTAGGACAGCCAGGTCTTTGCAGGGGGATATACAAATAGTTTCTGGTCATCTCATCAACTGCAACACTCTGGGATTTGATGGTAGACTGCTGTGGAGTTTGCCACAACCAATAATATCATCTTTACATACTTATGTCTGTTCTACTCATCCTCTCTCCAGAATATTTCTCAGAGCATAAAATTATCCTATCACTTTTCCTACTTAAAAAAATACCTATTTTTCCTTTTACCCAACGTTCTTCTCCAACTATCAATCCATTTCTAAGATCCACTTTATAGGAAAACTCTTCAATAGTGTTATCTATATTAGGTATATCTGTTTCCTCATTCACAATTCGAAACCCCTCCCCTTTCATTTTATTATCCATGCTTCTATGAAAACATTTATAGAAGGCATACCGGTGACCTCCATATTGCTAAACCTAATGGACAGTTCTCCAGACACAATTTACTCTACTTTTCTGTGGTGTTAGAAAGAGCTGATGACTGACTTCCTCTTGAAATACTTTCTTAACTTGGATCCCCAGACACCATACATTCCTGAGTTTGTTCCTTCTTTATTATCTCATTTTATTTTCCTTACCTTTCTTCCTACCATGGATTTTTAAATGTCAGAGTGCCCAGAACTCAGTTTGGACTTTTCTGTCAACATTCACTCCCTTGGTGTGCTCAGTCAGGCCCATGACCACTGTCAAATACAGATTTCTTATGTTCAAGTTCCCTCTGAGCTCCAGGGCCATATACCCAACAATCCACTAAAGAGCTGCATCATATATCTAGTATACCTGATATATTTAATATGAACAAACCCAAATTCTTGATTTCCCTACCCTAAACTTGCTATTCTTAGTCTTTTTACTTTAGCAAATAGAATGAGTATATCTGGTCTTTCTCAGTCTTCTTCACTCACTCGGGTAACCACCCATAGGATCACATTGTGTTCCACCTTTCTTTTATAACACTATCCAAACCACCAGCCACTAATGTACCTATTAAATGTACCCAGAATAAGAACTCTTGTAACTGCTATTTCCACTGCCCTAGGTAAGCCAACTTCATGTCTTCTTTGGATTACTTAATTTACTGGTTTCAACTGGTTCCTTTGCATCCTTTCTCACTCTTCTACAGTCCACAGTCTGCGTGGCAGTTAAAGGCATACAAAAAACTCTCCAGTGGCTTCCCACTATAATTAAAATAAAAAATTCCTACCAGGATCTATAAGTCTCCAAGATTTACCTGGTTCTAACTTTGAATCATTTGCTTCCTCACTCGTCACTCTAGTTCAGTAACTTCCTTGTATGTGAAATGCACAAAACAAAGTCTCACTTGAAGGCTTCATACTTCAGTTCCACCTGCTAGAAATGGTCTTCTCCATGTAGTCACATTCTTTACTGCCTCATTTCCATCAAATTCATCTCAAAACACCTCTTTTAAATAGGCCTTTTATAAATACCCTACCTAAAAATCCATGCCTCTCACCCTCTAAACCTTGAGTTGATAGGCTTCACAGCATGCATAATCTTCTTTATATCATATTGCCCATTTGTTTTATTGTCTGTCTTCCTTATCAGAATATAAACTCCATGAAGGTTGGGACATTTTGTCTTCACCACCATATATCCAGCGCCTAAACTAGTTTCTGACACATAATCCACATTCTATAAATTATATTTTTGAATGACTGAGTGAATTAATGTTTGTGTGAATCCTCAAGAATTCACTGAAGCAAGTAGATTTTTAATGTTCATCATTTTATCTCTATCATGGAGTCCTATGGCACATAATCAATGCTCCATAAATATTTATCCAATAAGTCAATAGAAATGTGATTATCATAGAAGAAGGCATAAATCCAGACTAAGTGGAAGTTAATGCCTTGCCCGATGTGCCAATGCAATCGCTCCCTCTGAATATTGTGCCTAACTGGTCAAACCCCAAAGAGTACATTTTTATGAAAATGAATGAATGTCTTAATAAATATTAATAAATGAATGGATACTTGTTCCCAGAAAATATTTTTGACAAGAAAGAACAGATAATTATCAACCTCACATATAGCAGAATAGTCTAAGAGGATAAGAAGTGAGAAAGATTTTACTTGGTTACTAGGAGATGATGAATATTTTCCAAAAGAATAAATCTAATAAAATGTTTGGGGCAGAAGCCAGGTCATATAAGACTAAATGAGTTAAAACATAACAGCATTAAAATCAGACAAAATTTAGAGGAGGTTGCCAGAAAAGGAAGAATAAAAGGAGAGCAGGTTAATTGAGCAGAAGAGTCATTTAAAATCACTTTACAGTCAGGATTGATGATTTCTAAGCATGTTTCCATGCAGAGATTGTAGAAAGTGACAATGCCTATAACTTGAAATGAATATATCTTTTCCAAACTGTTTTCAGAGTCCTAGGTAACAGACTAAGAATATCTAACTAAGGCAAAATCTCTTTCTAGGGAAGATGTGATCTAAACTCATCACGGATGTTTGTCCATTCTAATTTGCCTCATCCTTTTATTATGTATAAAATGCAAACCAATAATGATAAATAAGGATTACTAAAGAAGGATTTTTCAGTCTTTTTAGAAGCTATTAATGCTAAGAAATACATTTAACATATAGGAAACATTAGTTTGTGATATGTAGTTTATGTGTCTTTTATTTTATGAACTGTAGTACTTTAGAAATGTTAACTTACTATTTCTTCCAATACCTCCTCAATATTAATCATATCTCCCAAAAGATAATTAAGTTTAAGATATTTTTCTTATGTTATTCCTTGATGAGACTCTCACTGTTAGAACATCGTGACACAATTAGGATGCCGTGTGAAGTATTCTGGATCCATTGTCAGAAGGTCAGGTCTGATTCTTGTCTTCACCTCTTGCCAGGTGTGTGTCTTTGGGCAACTCACTTCATCTCAGTTGTTCCATTTGTAAAATGGATCCAGAATACTTCACACAGCATCCTAATTGTGTCATGATGTTCTAACAGTGAGATTCTGTCTCGCTGGGAGTAGCAGCAGTTTCTGATGCAAAGAAATATGGAGACAAATATAGATAGATAAATATAGGTATAAATACAGTTCTTCTTTTGTGTCATATATAGATTATATATATAATGTTATAGTTATGTGTGTTTTTATATATATACACACACATATATACATATGCACACACATATATACATATACACACACATATATACATATGCACACACATATATACATATACACACATATATACATATGCACACACATATATACATATACACACATATATACATATACACACATATATACATATGCACACATATATACATATACACACATATATATACATATACACACACATATATATACATATACACACACACATATACATATACACATACATATATACAAATACACACACATATATACATATACACACACACACATATACATATACACACATATATACATATACACACATATATATACATATACACACACATATATACATATGCACACACATATATACATATACACACATATATACATATGCACACATATATACATATACACACATATATATACATATACACACACATATATATACATATACACACACACATATACAAATACACACACATATATACATATACACACACACATATATACATATACACACATATATACATATACACACATATATATACATATACACACACATATATACATATGCACACACATATATACATATACACACATATATACATATGCACACACATATATACATATACACACACATATACATATGCACACATATATACATATACACACACATATATACAAATACACACACATATATACATATACACACACATATATACATATACACACACATATATATACATATACACACACATATATACAAATACACACATATATATATACATATACACACATATATACACATACACACACATATATATACATATACACACACATATATACATACATGCATTTAGGGCTACCCTTGTGGCTCAGACAGCTATGTATATACAGCTACACAGATAACTTGGAAGCTATATAATTTCAGGATTTAAAACTGGACATTATTTCATAATCTGGGTTATAATGAAATAAGCTGTTTTTAAGATTCAACTAATTTTTCTTTGAAACAAATGAAAGTCTCCAACTTGTTTTAAAATATTTTATATTGTTTTCATTTATCTGCCTGTCTTGGCAGAATATACAAACAGTAATGTTATCATCTATGCTATGCAGATAAGCTGCCTGCAGTGAGAAGGCTCAAAAAGACCACCCCCACCTCTTCCTACCCTTGCCTTCTTTGAGCTGTCCAAAGAGTTTGTGGGCAGAACCCTTAAAACAGCCAGTTACTCCCAGCAGCTGAAATAACATGAGCCGCTGCTCTGCTTGCGGTTTAAGATGGCCCCAAATTCTTTTAAATGCTCTCTCTTTTGGAGATATTTATTGCCTATTGCGATTTGCTCGTTAGACTTAAGAAAGCAGAAAAGTCAATTCCAGGTATCACGGTCCATTTTATTATAGTCCTGTAGGGAACATGTAAGGATGAGAGATTAGCAATCATCATACTTAGAAGACAACATGTTTTCCAACTCCGCAAGACAATTTTCCTTCCCAGCACCAGTTGCTTTTTCTTCATTTACGCTGTGGAACTCACATGCCATTCCTGATACAGTCTGAACAACTTCTATGAGACAGGAATTATACTAACTTTTTCCAACACAATTTTTTATATTAAAAACTATCCCTTAAAATAGTACTACTGACAATGGGAAATGAATTAAAACAATCCAGAAGAAAATAAGTAGCAATAATATAGGTTATATTTAATACTGGATCACAGACTTTGCTAGGCATTCTAATAAAGGACTCATTATATGCAGTCAGAAAATAATACGGTCAAGCAAATTTTGTGCTAACTTCCATGTGTCACATGGAGGCTTTAATTAACCTGTCTTGTGAGTCACTGAGCCTTTATGAATTTCACTTATATTGCATTGTGGGAATATGACATTTACTTCTTCACACCATTTTTACTTTTTTCAGTTATTACCATGAAAAAATTTATTGAGCAAATGTCACTGCTGAAGAAGCCATGGCCCAATAGAGGCCATTCCTCCAGGTGACTAGTATTGGCTGCTAAAACATAGCAATATAAAGAAAAGGTTTGGAGTTTCCTAATGTGACCTTTAACACCCAGAAATGGTATCTTGATCTTGTTAATTAAGTAACTTGAAAACATACACAGAGAACCCAAAGGAAAAAGCCAGCTTGGTCATTTGTGAAAAACTGAGAATTTTTTGCCTTTGAATTCTCTTAAGGAACACAGAGTTATTTTCATGCATTAAAGACCAAATCTATGCTTTCTTTATTTCAATATTCAGAGCACAAAAGATGTCAAGCTCATGCTTGATCTCTCTTAGTTACAATAATATATGTCGCTGACCAGTAAAGCTACTGCGTCAAAGCCATCTGCACAGTTCCAATCCCCTCAGTACCTGATAAGAGAAGGTTATTCTTTGTATATCCAGAACCTGACAATCTTTTAGTAATTAAGGCAGTTTTTCACTGCTTTGTGGATGCTGAGAAAAGAAAAAATATTATGAGTGTTTAATGAAATGCACCATGACCTTGCAGTAAGATAATCTTATTTTCCTACAAGATAAAAAAAAAGGCAAATAGATTTTAAAGAGGTGAGATAAGGGCACATCTTAAAGCAATGTGCAAAGTAAACATCAGGTAAAATACAAAGGCTGGAAGAATTGATTATGCCATGTGGTTGCTCTCCTGTGGAATATAAAAGAAGCAGGGACATGCTCTGTTACTCCCTGCATGTAGAAGTCGAGCTTGGAAACAATATACTGACATCTCTGCCATACAGATAATGCAAACAAGCTAATATGCTGAATCAACAATTATCATTTAGAAACTTTCTGGGTCCACTGATTGACAGGTACAGAGTGTATCTTAATGGTCTTCTCTTTACAAGCCAATTTCAATAAAAAGAAATAAAATTACATGAGAGAGAATGAACATCAAAGGCTGAAAAGAAAATGCAGCAAAAACAAGATGATAAAATAAAAAGGCTTCATCAAGAAATAGCCAGAGGATTACTCCATTACTCATTACAAGATTAAAGAAACCTGTGACCACCATCATGCAGTTAGACACTACAGCAGAAATACTGGTGGATCACATGTGATATTAGATGTTTAGCACATTGTGTCTGACACTGTCTATTAATACATTTTTATCATTATTCTATCTTAATTATGACAAGCATTCTTACTGGCCATGATCAAAACACCATAGACTAGAAAAGCACAAGCTCACTGAAATCTGACTGAATGATTAGTAATTCTCAGCATAAAGATCAAAAGGGGAGAGGTTAGCAATTGTATTTTTACTGTATATGCATTATTGCTACTATTTCAAACTCATAAGCTATTCAACTCCAAAAGGAAAAAAAAAATACTCTCTCAAGCACATTCTGCTCTAGACTTGATGGAAGTTTCTTGACTCAGCCCAGAATAAGCATCAATATCTTTAAAAACTCTGTTAAAAGTTAAACTATTGTGACATCCCTGGCAGTCCAGTAATTAAAACCCCATGCTTCCAATGGAGGAGGTGGAGGTTCAAACCCTAGTTGAGAAATAAAGATCCTTCATGCCACACAGGTGCAGCCAAAAAACTCAGTCAGTTCGGTTACTCAGTCGTGTCCAACTGTGCAATCCCATGGCCTGCAGCACGCCAGGCTTCCCTCTCCATCACCAACTCCTGGAGCTTGCTTAGACTCTTGTCCACTGAATTGGTGATGCTGTCCAACCATCTCATCGTCTCTTGTCCCCTTTTCCTCCCACCTTCAATCTTTCCCAGCATTCAGGGTCTTATCCAGTGAGTCAATTCTTCGCATCATGTGGCCAAAGTACTGGAGTTTCAGCTTCAGCATCAGTCCTTCCAATGAATATCTGGGGCTGATTTCCTTTAGGAATGACTGGTTTGATCTCCTTGCAGTTCAAGGGACGCTCAAGAGTCTTCTCCAACACCAGGTCAAAAGCATCAATTCTTTGGCGCTCAGCTTTCTTTGTAGTCCAACTCTCACATCCATACATGTTTACTGCAAGAACCACAGCTTTGACTAAATGGACCTTTGTCGGCAAAGTAATGTCTCTGGTTTTCAATATGGTGTCTAGGTTGGTCATAACTTTTCTTCCAAGGAGCAAGCATCTTTTAATTTCATGGATGCAGTCACCATATGCTGTGATTTTGGAGCCCAAGAAAATAAAGTCTGTCACTGTTTCCATTGTTTCTCCATCTATTTGCCATAAAGTGATGGGACTGGATGCCATGATCTTAGGTTTTTGAATGCTGAGTTTTAAGCCAGGTTTTGCACTCTCCTCTTTCACTTTCATCAAGAGGCTCTTTAGTTCCTCTTCACTTTCTGCCATAATGGTGGTGTCATCTGCATATCTGAGGTTATTGATATTTTTCCCGGCAACCTTGATTCCAGCTTGAGCTTCATCCAGCCCAGCATTTCTCATGATGTACTCCGCATAGAAGTTAAATAAGCAGGGTGATAATATACAGCCTTGACATGCTCCTTTCTTGATTTGGAACGAGTCTGCTGACTTCCTCAGTGATCAATGCAAAGAAATAGAAAAAACAATAGAATGGGAAAGACTAGAGATCTTGTCAAGAAAATTAGAGATACCAAAGGAACTTTTCATGCAAAGATGGGTACAATAAAGGACAGAAATGGTATGGGCCTAACAGAAGTGGAAGGTATTAAGAAGAGGTGGCAAGAATACACAGAAGAACCATACAAAAAAGATCTTCATGTCCTAGGTAAGCACGATGGTGTGATCACTCACCTAGAGCCAGACATTCTGAAATGCGAAGTCAAGCGGCTTTAGGAAGCATCACTATGAACAAAGCTAGTGGAGGTGATGGAATTCCAGTTGAGCTATTTCAAATCCTAAAAGACGATGCTGTGAAAGTGCTGCACTCAATCTGGAAAACTCAGCAGTGGCCACAGGAATGGAAAAGGTCAGTTTTCATTCCAATCCCAAAGAAGGGCAATGCCAAAGAATGTTCAAACTATCACACAATAGCACTCATCTCACACGCTATCAAAGTAATGCTCAAAATTCTGCAAGCCAGGCTTCAACAATACATGAACCATGAACTTCCAGATGTTCAACCTGGTTTTATAAAAGTCAGAGGAACCAGAGATCAAATTGCCAATATCCACTGGATCATCAAAAAACAAGAGAGTAACAGAATAACATCTACTCCTGCTTTATTGATTATGCCAAAGCCTTTGACTGTGTAGGTCACAATAAACTGTGGAAAATTCATCAAGAGATGGGAATACCAGACCACTTTACCTGCCTCCTGAGAAATCTGTATGCAGGTCAAATAGTAACAGTTAGAACCGGACATGGAGCCAAAAAATAAAAAATAAAGTTATAAATATTCACATATTCTAAGGAAAGATTCATGAACATCAGAAAAGGTAAGAGAGTAATCAGATTTTCTGGAAATGCTTTATTTGTTAATACTTCTCCTTTAATAGGTTCAAATATTAATTTTAATCACAGCACAGTGCATTTGTGGGAGTCTTAAATGAAGGAGGAGTTGATGGGTTTACTTTCATGATATTCTATTATCTGTAAAGAAAATCAATATAAAATTGATAAAATTATCAATTTATAATTCATGTATCATCTACTTTTATTAATAATTTACGGTGCTCTCAAGAGATTGAGTCAGTGGTAGTATTTACAATAACAAAATTTACGTCAGAAGACAACAGATCCAGACTGAGAAATGAATACTTGGGAAAGGCTAGTAATTTAACCTGTCTTGAAAATGGTTTTCTTTAAATATTTATTAAACATTTATCTAAAGGAAAGGATGTGTACTGCATGAGAAAAAAGTATTAATTGCAATGCCTGCCAGTCTATTTGAAAAGAGCTGACTCTTTG